AACATACAGTGCTGACATTGTGATGACATTATTATTATTATTATTATTAAGTTTTTAAACTAAATAATGTTTTGTGTTAAAACAAACGTCGTATCTACAAATGCACAAAATGCTTAAACACAAGAAATATACTTACAAATGTTTTATTTTTAAAACTAATTATGAAAAGATGAAAAGAGTGAAACATTTGATCTGATCAAACAGTGATTCTGCTTCAATGTATGAACAGTGTTTTATAACAGCTTTATAAATGCCTTTTGAAATGTTGACACAATCATGAATAACCTACTTATAAAGCATTAACACATACTTTATAAAAGTGCCTGTTTTAGGAATAGGTACCAAATATATGTTTCTTTATAACTTATAAAATTTCCTTGTTTTTATGAGACTCAAACTGCTTGTGATGTTTTAATGATATTCACATTCTTTTAGATTTCTGGAATGATCTGTCTTTAGAAATAATGTTTGCATAACGATGCTCTCACAGGGTCATTCTAGTTTATGTTCTCACCTTCTGCGAGTCCTGTTTGCACTTTTCTAATTTCTCCTGAAGTTTCTTCTGTTCTGCAGGTGTCGAGGCCTCTCCTTTACTGTTGGCCTCTCTGGTGGCGGCCAGCTTCTCCTCTTTGCAGGTCATGTGATATGACTTCTTAGCAACCTCCACCTGAGCAGGAAAGGTAATATAAAACACCTGATCAGGAAGTCTCCAGGACAAATAAGGGCTTGCTTTGTGATGGATAAATACAAATGATATGAGGCCAGTTTGAACAGATTTCCTCAAGGTACCCATTTGTCTAATTCTAGTTTTAAAAACAGTCAAATCAGCATGTTTTCTCAGAAACATCATCCTGATAAACAATCAAACCTTTAGTACTATAAGCTATAATTTATTTTAATGTTTTCATTTCAACATCATTGTGAACATGGATAAACCACATATATATTCATTCTTTAAAAGAAGCATTCATTCAGCCTCCCTCACCTCTTTCATCTTCTTAGCCCAGGGTTTCTGGGCCTTCTTAAAGCCCTCCTCTGCCTCTTTGGTCTCCTTGAATCCCCCCATCATCTGTTTGTGGTATGAGTCTTTTTGCCAGTTCTTCACCTTTTCGAAGTCATCGCTGACAAGGTTGTTCTTCACCTCCTGGTGAAGCTCGCTCACCTTTTCTGCCTCAGCCATCACACCCATCCAAGCTTGTTCCACTGTGCCATACTGAGGACCTGGTGGAGGAATAATAGCCTTAAAGTCTAAAAAAGTTAAATCTGGTCCTCTGGACATTCAAAAAACAAAACAAAGCAAAACAACAAAAAAATGTAGAAACGTTTTGTCTTTCATCCAAGAGACTTCCTCAGTCTGAGGTGCTGTATTCAGCTCAGTCTCTTAAATAGCACCTTCTCAGAGTGGATCAACCAGTTTGCTGCTGACAACCAAAACCAGCTGCTCACATGCTCAAGAAGGACCATCAGCCTAACGATGGATCATTAGCACACTGATGGCTGTTTACTATTCACAGGGGGTTGAGTGATACTAGCAATAACAGCATTGTAAGAGGGGAACAGTTGAACACGGAGGCCTCCACCCCTGTTTAATGATGGACGATTGCTTTTCACAAAGATGGCCTCCTTTACTCCTCTCTCAAACCATCGTTCCTCTCTGTCCAGGATGTGACCATCTTCATCTCTGAAAGAGTGACCGCTGGCCTGGAGATGAGTGTAGACCGCAGAGTCCTGGCCTGATGTTGTTGCTCTTCTGTGCTGGGCCATCCTTTTGGCCAGTGGCTGTTTAGTTTCCCCGATGTAAGACTGATCACAGCCCTCCTGACACTGAACAGCATACACAACATTGCTCTGTTTGTGCCGGGGGACTGGATCTTTGGGATGAACCAGTCTTTGCCGTAATGTATTTTGGGGTTTAAAAGCCACTGGGACGTTATGTTTAGAAAATAAACGTCTCAGTTTCTCTGATACTCCCTCAACATACGGAATGACCACTGGTCTGGGTCTGGGTTCCTCCTTTTCAGCTGATGGCTGACTGGAGTCCTGTTTGGGTTTCTTCTCTGCTTTCAGGAAGGCCCAGTTAGGATATCCACATTGCTCTAGAGCCTGTTTTGTGTAGGATTTCTCCTTCTGCCTGGCTCCCGAGTTAGTGGGGATGCTGTCTGCTCTGTGATACAGAGTCCTGATGACTCCTAACTTGTGCTCCAAAGGGTGATGGGAGTCAAACTGCAAATACTGGTCTGTGTGGGTGGGTTTGTGGTACACCTTGGGTTGCAAATGCCCTCTATCAGAGACTGAGACCTCTTGATCTTGTGAGCAGCTTGTTTTGGTTGTCAGCAGCAAAAGTGGTTGATCCACTCTGAGAAGGTGTTATTTATAAGACTGAGCTGAATACAGCACCTCAGACTGAGGAAGTCTTTCGGATGAAAGACAAAACATTTCTACATTTTTTGTTGTTTTGCTTTGTTTTGTTTTTTGAATGTCCAGAGGACCAGATTTAACTTTTTTAGATTTTTCTACCTGGATTATTGAGCATGCATCATAATAGCCTTAAAGATTGTTTCATCATAAAAGTAACAACAAAAACAAGACAGGTCGAGATTCTTTAAAGACTTATCTGTAGAAACAAGAAAAAGGAGGCATGACAGATGATACAACTCAATACGTGTTTTAAAGAGATTTTATAAACACAGAAAGTAGTGAGACATGTTGTCTTCACAAAGAAACAGTGGGGCATTGCTAGTCAATAAGGTCAGACCATCAAATATGAGACAATACAATAAAAAAAATTAACACACCTCATATATTTTTTAACTTTAGCATGGTAGCATACACATGCAACCCTAACTCTAAAAAACAAAACACACATAATTATATAACCTCCTACCTTTATCTACCAGCTGCCTCCATCTCTTGGACCACTCCGTCAGCTGCTGGGCATAAGCCTTCTCGATTTTGGCACGCTCCTGGATGCAGTTCATCAGATCGTTACAGAGTCGATGACCATCATCAATGCGCTTAACTGTGCGTTTGTAGTTCCCAACCTTACAGCAAAAACAAAGACCATTGTATTATGTTCACTGTAAAGTACACATAGCACTACTTTTACTCACCAATACTAGTAGTATCATCAATTTTTCAAACATTTTTGGTAATTAGCTTCTTTACAGTGACAATGTTAGAAACATTTATTTGATTTAAGGTAAAACGTCTAAAGGTCCAGTGTGCATGAAATAATGCAGTCTTGTAGCACAGGTTACAAACTGTAAACCAGACCCAGTCACTGGTTTGTTTCTTATGGGCTACTGTATTAGTATGCTAAGGCAATTTAGTTAAGTGGCTGTGTTTGTATACATTAAATTATTATAAATAATGAAACACAAAGATTCAGCTTTCACACAAAATTGTAGACAAAACAAAATTAACAGCAGTATTTGACTGAGATACGACTGCTAGTGATTAGCTGGTGAATACCATTCACGAGGAAGTTTCCAGAATATCTTGTGACGCTTCATTTTGTTTGTTTGCAGTAAATTTCTACGGCAAATTCTTCTTCAGAACAGTCACATATGGTGTTTTGAACCCTTCTCGATTTTGTTGTGAGCATCACTAACTTGTCTCAGGAGTGCAAGCGTTGTATTTGGATAAAATTTGATTATTTTACCACCCCACAATATTCACCACATCATTGTTGTCCAACTGTAGACAGAACAAACTAATACTTTGCTTATTTTCTAAAGGTTGCATGCCGGAACTTTATATAAAGACAAACTAGTAATCTTAACACCCCTCTCTTCATCAAAATAATACATGCAAATTTTACAAGTGGAGAATTAGAAACTTTTTGTTAGATGCCCCTGTAGATTTGTTTTGGAATACATTTCTATAACCATAAATAGTAGAGATGCACAATATTGGATTTTGGGTCGATATTCGATATGCCAATATGTTAAAACTTATTTGGCCGATAACCGATACCAATAACAATTTTTTTTACCTTAGACCTACTTACTGAGACCACATAGCTCTGCTGTGGAATTAAAATACTACATTATTCTGCATGATCTTTGTCAGTTTGGCCTTCTACCAAATGCAGATGCCAAAAAGGGGGCTGAAAATGATGATGTACCACTTAAACTTGGATTATGTTTAATGTCAAATTTATTCATGACATTTACTCTCTTTAACACAATGACAACACCCGAACAGTGCAAATTTGTAAATTTGCACAAATCTAAACTCAACAGTGCACGTGAAGTCTTAATGTGTTGATGCTGCAAGCATCCTTGTGACTGGGTTGTCATACAAAAACAGCGCCTTATATTTTATTTTATATATATATATATCTATATCTATATATCTATATATCTATATATATATATATATATATATATATATACATTTACACACACACATATATATATACTGTACATATATATATGTAGTGAACCTGATGACCTGATGATCTGACCCTTATCTGACCCTGATGACCTCAAATCTACCAGATGGACAGAGACTGTTATTTTCATTGATCTGAATAAGTCTGAGCCATCTGATGACTTTCTTTCTTGAATTAATCAAGCAGAAAGGACAATCCTCTATGATCATTACTGTCTTACAAATGTTTTGATAATCAAATTGTGTTGGTTTCACTCAATGCTTACAGGTTGAAAAGAACTACTCATTTTTATTTTACATAAACAGTAAGTAATGATTTTTATTCCTCATTCAAAGAAGAAATCACCTGAATATGCATTTCTTGATTTTCTGTCTGAAATGATCCAAGTCGTAAGTATGTGAAAGTTGAAGCTTCGGTCAACTAAATGTTTACTGAAGAAGAAATGTCATGTTTAACTATTTGAGAAGATATCAGAGTGGAGACTCCACGAAGTCTGCTTTTCTGCAATAATCTCTCTGTCAGTTGTTAAACAAATTTCATTCTCTGACCTCGACTTTTGATAAACACCTTACGTCAAAACCACACCTCTTTCTGGTCCATCCACGAATCAGAAAGCTCTGAAGTAAACTCGGAAGTAAACTCATTTAAAATGTGACAACTTCCCGGTTCTGGTAGAGTGCAGTTAGTTCTCGAGGAGTTCAGAAGAGAATTCATGGGGAATTCATGGAGTGCAGTCGGTTCCAAGAGATTCCAGAGAACTAGAGTTATGGAGAGTTTTGGAGTTGGAGTCTGAGAAGATCTGAAAGAGTCTGAGAGCTGCTGACAATGAAGAGTCAGAGTTGCCGAGAATCCAGAGACGTTTTGGGATTATAATTCTGTTTGAACTAATCACGCACGACTCTCCAAGGATTTTAGCGGTTCTCAACGGAGACGCTGATATCAGTCTGAAGGATTCTTACTGAGGTGATCTATCGTCAACAAGGTAACGGTTTCTTCTTCGACTAAAGTGTACCTGGGATAAGCTGAGATACCTGATGGGAGCGTGCAATTTTCTGGTCAACAGATATTAATTCCCTCACATATTTCTCTGTAAGATAAATCTCAATTTCCTCTTAAACTCTTCTCTCTCTCACAAAACTAGTACAGATATTTTAGAAATATCTGAAGCAAAGTCCTCAAATCACCGCCGAGTGATTTGAAGTTCATTATTTGTGAAACTGTCTGTTATTATTTTCATATTTTGCCAAATTAATGTAAATGTTTGATGTTAAACTTTGATTCTGAAAATAAATGACTCCATTCATTTGATGGGTCAAAGATAATAACGTCTCTCGTTCGCATTTCTGTTAAATTCAATGCACGACATTACAGTCAGAAAGATGAGGAACTCGTGAATATAGTATGCATATAAACGGGGATATATTGTCATACTACAACTAGTGACACGTACCCACGTGACTCACTACATATATATATAAACAGTGCCTTTTATATTGGCGAGTTATTTTGATGGAATGGCCCATGTCCGATATTTAACTTTACTGCTAATATCATCCGATACTGATACCATGCCGATAATATCATGCATCCCTAGTATATGGGGCTTTTAGTAGGAACCATAACCTGTGCTTTGACTACAAAGACCTTAAATCCATGTCATTTTCTCATTCTTCCTTTATGCAGTTTCATATGCAAATAAAAGCAAAATGACAAAAAAAGTTTAAAAGTTAATGGTTAAACAACCTTAAAGCCCATCACATAAAATAAGAAGCTTTTATGGTTATTAGGGAACACAAATGTTGTGTTTTACACCGTTTTGTATTTCCACTCTCACACACAACGCTGTGTGAGATGTCACTTTACTCTCCTCGCACCCTGCAGGTGGTGCACTGAACAGGCAGGGGAGAGCAGCAGGGAAGAGACTGCTGCTGCTGTGTGAGGAGTTATGCAACAAAAAGTATAGAGGAAGTTAATGTCATGTAAATTACAACTCTCCAAGGATGTAGGGGAGAAACAATCTCCCACGGAGCTAAACGTTTTTCCCAGATACAGAGCTGAATACATAAAGGAAAGACACAAAAACTCCAGGTTACTGTTGTTTCTTACCTATGTGATCAACTAAATACATTTTTTGCTCAGTGTCTGACCGATATTTGCCTTCAACTCACTAAAAAAAGAAATCCAATAAGCCTGGGCAGAAAAGAAAGAAGGCGAAGGATAAATGATAGTACTCAACAGCGGATTCGCTTCAGTAGCAGTCAGCTGAGTCAGCGATTAGCAGGCAGCACTGCAGCACCTTTAATGTGACGCAGAGAGCGACGGTGATGAAGTGACTCTGTGCTGGAAGCAAACATTTTTACTACTTCAGCTGATTCCTGAACACAAACACACACACGCGCGCACACACACACACACACACACACACATGCACGTGTGAGTTCAGTGTGAACAGAAAATTTAAAGCATGAGAAATTGATTATAAAACCTGAAACAATAAAGTTATTAAATGTCTCTACTGTGCAAGAGTTCCTCCTGTATGTTAGATTTAACTGTGTGCATTCTGTATTTGAGATCAGGTGAATCTGTTCCAGGTTTGTGACGACTCACCACCAGCTCTTATCAATAATGAATAAACTTCTGGGAACTTGTAGCTCAAATAACGTGCAACTCTTTGTGTTCAAGGAAGCTCCCCAGTGCTGTAAGAACAATGTAATACCAGCTGAGACAAGTGGTTTCATTTCTTTTGACTGTCAAATCAGTATTTCTCACCTGCAGCTGAAGGCGAATGCAGAGCCACAACATTTTTGTTGCTTTGTTTTGTTTTCCATGTGTTTGTTTGTCTGTACAGTTAGCAAAACATTCATCTCTGTCTGAACAAACTTGATAAAACTTTTAGAAAATAATAATTGTAAATACAACTTGGCATTTTTGCGATAAACAAATCAATTAATTGCATGATAAATGAAAATTATCAACCTCATTTTAATTTAGCGGCTTTATCGTTTCTTCGTGTCTCTCTCTTTCTAATGAAGACACTGGATGACAAGAAGCTCAACTCAGGTGTTCTTCACTGACCCCTCCCTTTCTCGTTTTTCTCTTTTCTTTAAAATCCATTTTAACCGTCCAAATTTGCATTTTTGGATCGTTAAAAGCAGCTAAGCTGAGAAGCTAAGCTATGAGCTAAGCTAACAAGGTGACCTCGGGAATAAAACCTCCATCTTGTCGAAGCTCAAAAATTCACGATTAAAACCCGTGCCTTCATCTAAAAAGTTGTTTAGTTCTGCAAAAAGAAGCCGAGAACTTGTTTACTGATTTTTTTATTAAAAGCTTTGTGTGAAAAATTTTATGCTAAAGAGCTCAACCCACATAGAGTGTCCGCCATTTAGAGAACCGAAGAGACAGAGCCCATGTCACGTCAAGAGACCTCCCTCCAATTTTTCTTAAAGAGACATGCTGCTCATTCCCTCACTTTCCATCCTTCGGTTAAAAGTCTTATACTGCCATCAAGTCGTCAAACAAGGTACTACACAAAAATTAGCCAGCATCTCTTCTTAAATTTGACAATAATTACTAATTATTGTCAAATTTCAAACAATATCATCATTTATCACAATAATTTCTGAGACAATTAATCGCCCAGCAAAATTTGTTATTGTGACAGGCCTAAATACAACTGACTAATGTTTGCAGGTAACCTAATTTAAGATGGAACAAAATCACCAATAGCTATTGCAAACACGGTTATATGCAGGGATTAATTTGAGCTGGATCCTGCTGGAACAGGATCCGGGAACTCTCTTAAACGGGGTGTGTTCCAGTAACTGCTTGCTTGGATTCGATAACTCTCAGGCTTACTAATAATAAAGTTATGAACAAATTTGACTGCCTTGAACAAATAAAAGCTATATCGGATATGCAATCTGATAATAATTACATAAACATTCATTTTAAACCTAACAGCCACTTACAGGCTTCCTAATATCCCATAAGAGGTGTGCCTTCAAGTAAGCATTTCCGTTTCTACCCTTAAAAACATTTCTGTCCCTAAAAGTTCAGTCATGGGCAATTTAATTAAAACACAAAAATATAAACAGCACAACTAAATTGTAAATCAGTTTTACAACTTAAGTGGGTCAATAAAAAAACGTTGATTATTTATTAAGAACACAAGAATTTTTTGATAGGTAATCACATTACTTACATCACGTATCTAAACAATGGCACCGATTTATCAAAATACCAGTTATCAAAATGTCGAAAAAAACAGTCCAATTTACTTTCATTAAAAAAAAGTCTTCTCACTGTAGCCTGAAACTAAATTTTCAATTCAATTCAATTCAGTTGATTTATATAGCGCCAAGTCACAACAGAAGTCGTCTCAGGGCACTGAACAGAGGCATTCATATATAAAAATAATAATTTAACGTTATTTATCTGAGGAGCAGACTGATTTGAATTTAACTCCATCACAGAACTCTCATCTTGAGCAAGCATGAAGGCGACAGTGGAAAGAAAAAACTCCTGGAAGAAACCTTTAGCAGTTGGGTTTGAGAGGACAGGAAGGCGGAACAGATACACAATGGCAGGTCGAGAAACACATGTTAAGATAGAAATAATTTCAAATGAAAACTTCAATTTTATCATTAATTTCAGGTAATGAGGTCAATTTGTCCCCCAGTAGCCTATGGCAGCATGACAAGCAAGTCAACCCTAACTATAGGATTTATCAAAAAGGAAAGTCTTGAGTACAGTCTTAAAACTGGACAATGTGTCAGCCTCACGGGCAGAAACTGGAAGTTGGTTCCACAAGAGAGGAGCCTGATAACTGAAAGATCTTCCTCTCATTCTGCTTTTGGAAACTCTAGGAACTGCGATAAGCCTGCAGTCTGAGAGCAAAGTGCTCTGTTAGTAAAATATGGAATAATAAGACCCTGACTATAAGATGGAGCTAGGTTGTTGAGGGCTTTGAAGGTTATGGGTAAGGTTTTGAATTCAATTCTGGATTTGACAGGGAGCCAATGGAGAGCAGCTAAAACTGTAGAGATATGAGCTCTCCTACTAACGCCAGTTAAGACTCTGGCAGCAGCATTTTGGACTAAAAATAACCAAGAATTGAAGCACATGAAGGCAGTGGCAATGGAGATACTGGGGCAGGTAGCAAAATAGCAAAATATCCCATATACAGCTGGACGGTTTTCAGTGAAACTCACAGACAGTAATCATTATAAGTGATTAACGTTTGGAGCAAACCCAGTTCTAGATGGCCACCACAACCATTTGAACATAAGACTACACAAAATGGCCATACCTCAGTGAAGTTTACAGCTAAAGTTTGGCATCGTAGTCGATAACAGTCGTTCGTGACACATAAGTGGTAACAGATCATACAAGATTTACAATATGTCTTAAATTTGTACATACTGTTATTTTAAAGGTTTGACCAAAACAGCTATATCATAGTCATTTCTAAACAGAAGATCATTATAGTGTAAAACTCTTGCATGAAAGGTGGTGGGTGTTGTGTATTCCTAACGGAATACTGAGTCTTTAATTTATTAAAATGTAACAAATGAAAACAGTTAAGAAAAAAAGGTAAATAAGTGCAACTTTAATAATTTTGCCTGACATCAATATGATCTAGTAGTTTGATAATAAAGTAATAGTTGAGAAGAGAAAGACATTGATGTGGGATGAGTCATCTCTAACAAAAAGATTAGGACAGAAAATAAAACAAAAACAGCTCACAAAAACACTGAATTCATTCGTTTTCAAATTCCACTTACGCATTTTCTAAAGACGTGATAAAATGTCCTTTTTGTCTCATTCTGGAATGATGGCACTAAAACCTAGCAATTTGTTGTGTTGCTGAGAAAATGTGTGGGCGTCGTAACCTGGAGTGTGAAGTTGAAGCATCCAAAGATCGGTGAGCCAACAGTGGTGATAAATTAGTTGCTGCTGAGTGCATGTCTGATTTATGTCTGCTTGCTCATATCTTTTGTCTTCTCCCCTCTCCCATTTGGGTTACTTGGAGTTCATCACAAACTGGTGTCACTCCCCAATTTGATTTAATCTGTCAAAGGCTTCTGTCTCACCTCCCAGAAACTGTCTGTAGTCTCCTCCTGGCTGGCGTACTCATCGTAGGCTCCAGACATGGTCACAGATTTGGCAGGGTGGCTTCAGGCTGTGGAGGTCTGCAGCAGAGTGATGCTCTTCATGCACTGTCAGAGAAAATGAGCACAGAGGAACGTAAACACTCAGACTGTCGACTGCATGAAAGTTAGGATGTGTGAGACAAATTAAAGCTCATAAAAGCTGCCTCTGACCTTATAAATCTGATTTGAAACTGATTGTAATAAAGCAACTAGTTTTATTCAAGACGATAACAATTTCTACACTAAGTGTAATTCAGTATTGATCAATTAAAATATCTTAACCCCAATTCAGAATTTAAAGCATTTCAACAACCATATTAAATTAGTTGTCTTAAGGTGGGGACAGAAATGTAAGAATATGTTTCCAGTAAAATTATGTTTGGTACAAAATATGCACAACAAAATATTTAATCACACAGAATCAAAACAGTGAATAAAACTGAACAATGAGACACTGTGAAAAATTAATAGTTGTTAGGATTTGAATCGTAGTGAAAAGATAAACTTACCAAAACTGTATCTAAAAACTAAATTAGAAGCCTTAGCTAAAACTATTACTAAAAGCTAAAATTAGAAGCCTTGGCTAAAACTATAAAACTATAATGAAAAGCAACATTTAACAAAGCCATAGCTAAAATTAGCAAAACTGTAGCTAATAGTTATAATGAGCAAACCATAGCTAAAAGCTAAAATTATAAGCTTTAACTAAAACTGTTACTAAAAGCTAAAATTTGTAAATGGTAGCTAAAAGATAAAAATAACAAACCTTTTTCTAAAAGCAAATTTAACAAAGCCTTAGTTAAAACCATAGCTAAAATTAGCAAAACTGTAGCTAAGAGTTAAAATGAGCAAACTGTAGCTAAAAACTAAAATTAGAAGACTTAGCTAAAACTGTTACTAAAAACTAAAATTAGACACCTTAGCTAAAACTGTTACTAAAAGCTAAAATTAGAAGCCTTGGCTAAAACTATAACGGAAAGCTAAAATTAGTAAATGATAGCTAAAAGACGAAATTAACAAAACTTTTTCTAAAAACAAATTTAACAAAGCTTAGTTAAAACCAAAGCTAAAATGAGCAAAACTGTAGCTGAGAGTTAAAATGAGCAAACTGTAGCTAAGAGATCAAGTTAGCAAGACAGTAGCTAAAAGCTAAAAGGAACTCAAGAAGACAACAATATAGCAAGAATGCTGAAATAAATTCAGACAAGTGTTTTTATAGGAATTGAAGAGCTCTTTATTTATTTCCATGGAGAAAATGTTTTAAAGGCTATTTTTGTAGGCTAATATTATTTTAAGTAATTTATTCTGTTAGTAAATAAAGCTCTCCACTAGACCCCAGGAAACCAGTTAAAAAAATATCTAATGTTGATTTCACACTAGTATAGGCGGAGCTCAAACCAGCATGCAAAGGTTTTATAAATTAATACAACCAGCACTAGTTGCTACATTATCACAAAGTTTAAATCAAAGACAACACACTTACGGTAGTGATGATTGCAAGAGGAAATAAAAAGTTGGCTGCCATTTTTACCACACACTGAGAACATTTGATTTCAAGTACTTTGGATCCAGCCTATCACCGTCATAACTTAAGTGCTTCAGGCAGCTTTCCTATGAAGACTCTGTCAATAAATGTAATGACTTTTAATTTTCAGAGGCATCCACTTGACTTGCTTTTATACTTTCTTAACAACAGAGTGATTCTAGTCAAATAACATAATCCTTCACTTCAACAACTTCTGCAGAAAAAAACCAAAGACAGGATTGCTAATAACGGCTGAAAAGACAAAATTACGAAATGAAACAAGCACCCGAGCAACGGATGACGGACTTTGTCTGTCTGTCTGTGTATAGGAAGGCAGTGATCTGTTTCTAATAGACGACAATCTCTGGATAATAACTGAGCAAAGACAAACTCACAACTCTAACGTTATTCTGATGCTGCTGCAGTCTCACCCACCTCCATCAGTTCAGGTTCAGTTCACAACCCACACTGCAATTTAAAAACGATCTATGCTGTCAAACTGGCCTGAAACAAGCAAGAGATTTTTACTTGGCTTTCGCTAAGAGCTAATTAGGTGCTGCCAATGCTAGAAATACATCACAAACACTCAACACTATAGCATCCAAGATATCCCCAGGAGAAGAAAAAAAAAAAACAAGATACATTTTTAGAAGTAAAAAAAACGATTAATGATTAAATTGAAATAATTACAAGAAAAAAAGACAGTTTTTCTTTGGTCATAAATATTCAAACGTAGTTCAGAATTAAAAGATTTGTCATGTTTGATGGAACATATATCACCCGCCACCATTTATGTCAGAGTTTTGAAGTACAATTGTCTTGTGATGAGAAGGGATGAAGTTAAAGCTGTTTTGATCATACTTTATCTCATGCCATATTTGAAGGTCTCATGAGATCTGTTAAGCTGCGTTGCCATTGATAAGTCAGGTCTCTCTTGTAAATGAGTCCTTGAGGCTCAATGGGATTTATCTGTCTAAATAAAGGTTGAATGAATAAATGCGACAGCGCTTGCTTCTCGTCTTATCAGTTCTTCTCAGGTTAGGTGGTTTACCACTGTGACTTGTTTCCTATATGTGAGTGGGATTGTCAATGCAAAGCGTGCAGTATTGTAACTGGTCATTGTGTTCGAGCCACTTCACATGTTGTGGTCCTTAACTGCCCTATAGTCAGACTTTAACTCTTTTAGCTTATCCTGGCACTGCTTAGAAGTCAGGTGTAGCCATGCTGAACCATCATCTCTGATATCTCTCTGTAAAGGAACTAATTTCTTGTGGCGCCGTTCAGCTCACACTGAATTATAACATCGGCCAATAAAGTTAGGAACCCATCATTAGTTCACTGCACCATTTTTGGAGCTTCCATACCAGAAACTAGCAGAAACAACACACTGGAAATGATCAGAGAGGAAATGGAGGTTCAGTTTTGCAGTTTTCAATTTTGCTGGGTGGGTCATTCAGTGACGTAGCTCCACTGGCCAATCAACAGCAGCTGTCTGCTCATGTCAAAATGGTCACATCAGAGCAGTTCACTTGGAACCACCAACAAGATGGTCCCATAAACCAGGCTGAGTGGGGTGGGTACCGGCAGTGGGCAGGCCCTTAACCATGAGTTGGGGATCGGTCTCGACGCCTACCACAATAAGTTAATCGGTCTCGACGCCTACCACATTAATCTATAGCTCAGTGTCTGTAAAACTGACTGAGGTATAACCCTTTTGGATTGGCTAAGGTTGATTTGATTAGCTTTGGAGGCCATCTTGAATTGGATTTTTTTTTTTTTTCATGTATCCAGCATGACTTTCTTTTTTTTCTTAATAAACCTGTCCTATTTGTTGTTTGTCCTTGGACACAAAATGTCACTTTTCTTTTTTTTTTTCCTTTTCCAAAAAGTACTTTATTTCAAACAAATAACATTGCATATAAATATCTTCAACACAATCACAATATCAAATTTTATTAAAGAAAATAAATAAATAAACAAAGGAATAATGATATATAAATAATAGACAGATACATTGGCAATATTGGTGTAAAGGTCTTACAATACACAAAGTAAACTAAATAAGGTACAAAAAAAGAGTTAAATAAATTTATACATAAATTAGTAAAATAAAACAATATGTAGATGAAGTGTTATGAAATAAAGTTAAATTTCTTGAGAAGAGTAATTGTTTTTACAAGTTTCTGATTATTTAAATTAAGTTTTTCCACAGAGGTAATATATGTTTTAAGCCAGTTTCTTTAAAAAATATTAAATGAAGGGATTTTCCACACCATTTCATCTTGTGGACATACTATTTTGCCAGGATTATAATTAGATTTACTATATATTTCATCTGAAGAAAACGCTGAATTGTTAAAGATGAGCAATATTTGCCATTTTGATAATACAATGTTCTTTCCAAGTATTTTCTGTAAGGAGCCTTTGCAAATCAGACCAAAATATTACAGCATGAGAACATTCCACAAATAAATATTCAATACTTTCACCCTCACGCTGACAAAAAGAACAGTTGTTGCTGACATTTGGAAAGAAGCAAAACTCCATTTCAGTTGAATTAACTAATATAATGCATAAGAAATTTACAAACAGGTTTATCAGAGCTCATTTAGAAACATCATCTACTCCAAACATAGATGGATTTATTTAAGCAAAACTTCTTATTGCTTCAGATATATATACTTGTTAATAGGATAAATAATTTTTATTTTAAATTTTACATAGATATTATCCAGTTAAAGATAATATTTCTTGCATCTTGAATTGGATCGACCAAAACAGAATTATTTATGGATGTACAACCAATGACTATTTTTTGAGAGTTTTATTAAAAGCCATTCTGTGCTTCATAGGCTTAGTTGTTTATTTTTTTCCCAACAGAGACAGGGACAAAAACATTATCGCTCTATGCCTTTGGGTGACAAAAGCAAAAATATCCGTTTTCAATATCTGTCACTGTTAATGGGTCACTATGGTGAGAATTATTTCCTAATATCCAACATTTTAAAAGTAAAATTCATTTGTCTCCTACAGTCTTCCATATTTACCTAAATTTTACATACATATTTGTTAACACATATTTGGGCAACTTAGAACTAGCATATACTAGAGACTCATCAGCTGGTAATTGGGTACTGTAAAGAAAGCCAACTAAATTACAGCAACAGGAGCTACACAATCCATGCCATAGTCTTAATTTTTATTTTTTTTCCCCGACATTATACAACACAATGAGGTTTCACAAAACCATACAAAGTGAGTTATGAATGTGTGCAGTGAGAGGAAATCAGCAAACTACAAAACAAAAGGAGCACACAAGCAAACTATGTCCCAAACAGAATGGAGATCAGGATAAAATCCAAAAAGAAGATGCAAATGAACTGGAAAGAAAAACATGATGTGAAAACAACCATAAGGAGACTCATCTGACAAAGCTGTTATCTATGCAGTGAAATGCCATCTGCAGAGGCAGCAGGTTTCATGGAGACTCTGCTGGAATACTAAATATCAATAAACAGAGGATGTGACAGGGAGAGCATCT